CACGCCGCGCTGCAGGTGCACGATGCACACCATGCGCTCTAGGCTGACCGCGGCCAGCGTGAGGATGGTGACGCTGCCGCTCAGGGTCATCACGTAGAAGAGCAGGTGGCAGGCAACGGGGCCCAGCAGCCATGCCTCGGTCCAGCGCACGGCCAGCACCAGAGGGATCGCACTGATAAAGAGTAGGTCGGCGCAGAAGAGGTTGAGCACCAGGCAGGCAGTCGTGCCGCGGCGTCGTCGGCGCGCCACCAGCACCAGGGCGCACACGTTGCCCAGCAGCGACACTGCAAAGATGAGCGCCAGCACGGTTGTCTCCACTGCGGCCAGCAGTAGCCGGTGGTCGCCCTTGACGTCGGAGAAGAAGGAGAAGCGGGTGCGGTTGGCTTGCTCCAGGCTGCTCAAGGGCGCGTCGCCCGCTGCCCGCGCGCATTCAGGGGACATTCCCGGCGCCTGGCGGCCCGCAGCGGTCTGAGAGAGTGCTCATCTGGGAGACTACTGAGTGCCAAGGCGGGGAAAGAGGGAGGGAGGCGGTTGCGAAATCTCACCTCTGGCCCCCTCCCTTCTGAGGAGTGCTAGCGCTGGCTGCAGGGAGCTGCGCCCGGGGCGCGCGGGAACGAGGAAGTGCCCGACAACACTGGCTGCAAACACCACAGCTGGGTGGGGAGGTGGCGGCCTAGCCGGAAGCCTCGCGGCCTCTGGCCATTTTAAAGTGTACTCAGAAGCCAGAAAACTCACTTAGCGAATTCCTCGAGCCCCCGCAGGGCCTGCCTAACCTCCTTCATCCTTCAGGGACACTGGATGTTCGAAGCCTTTTGTGAACGGATTTAGCTAAAATTGATTTAAAAGTGTCAGAGCTGGCCTTTGGAGATTATTTTGGCCTGTGTCGTTCAGATTTTACTAAAGAAACTCCATGGGTCTGGAGGTAGATCCTAAAGCAACTTGTAATGAGTCCATATTTTTTGTGGGGGAGAGAGGTAGTGGAGATCTTTTATCACTACTTAATAACAGATCTTTAGGTGGATTATCTACTCCCTCTACCCCAGATTTTTAATCTATAAAATGGGAATAATAATACCTCATTAGGTTATTGTGAGGCTCACCTAGAGTTTGGCACACTTGGCACACAGTAATTACTCATTAAATGTTATCAAATGTTATTGTAACTAAAATGCATATATATTTTGCATTCTGAACAATGACATAAAATGCTTTCTTGTAAAAAGGATGAGTCCTTCCAAATTTTTTAATAAACTTGCCATCCCGGGAAGACAGATATTTCAAGGCCAGATACACACACAAGCTATGAATGTGCCCCAGGTGCCACAGTCTGAGGAGCACTGGGCAATCCAGTCCTGTTAGAGATAAGGAAACTGAGGCCCAGCCAGAGTGACTTGTCTAAGCTGTCCTCTGATTAGTAATGAAAGTCAGTCACCTGTCCCCGTCCCACGTATTTCCATCACACCACTGCAGTCTGGTTTTCTGTAAATGAGGAAGCTGGAGATGGAAAAGTATGCCTGTGGCCTAAGATCCAGTGGCCACTTCCCCAACCAGCCACCCTCCTACCACCCACATCTTCACCCCCTCTCCCCTCTGCCATATTACCAGGCCTCTCCCAGTTGCCCATTCTGTCTTCTAATTGTCTTTCTTAAGGCTGGATCTTAAGAAATCTAAGTACTGACTGGGCGCAGTGGCTCATGCCTGAAATCTCAGCACTTTGGGAGGCCGAGGCGGGTGGATCACTTGAGGTCAGGATCCAGATCAGCCATGGCCAACATGGTGAAACACTGTCTCTACTAAAAATACAAAAATTAGCTGGGTGTGGTGGTGGGTACCTGTAATCCCAGCTACTTGGGAGGCTGAGGCAGGAGAATTGCTTGAAACCAGGAGGTGGAGGTTGCGGTGAGTCAAGATCATGCCACTGCACTCCAGCCTGGGTGACGGAGCAAGACTGTCTCAAAAAAGAAAAGAAAAGAAAAGAAAAGAAAAGAAACCTAAGTACTTCAGGCTGGTTGCGTCAGTCGCAAGTACTGTCTGGGGAGGGGGTCCGTTTGTGTGTCTGCTTTTCATGGTATCAAACGGGTCTGAGCTGATAATGTGACTTCTAACCTGAGAAGTAGATGCTCAGCTTGAACACTGACTAGGTTCGAGTTGAAAAACAGAACTGGTTTGCTTCCTGAAACAGTTGAAAAAGGGCCAAAAACTGAAATAAAGGGAATTCAGACAAATGGGGTTTTGGCAATTGTCTGATTAGGGTCAGGGGATATTAGTGTTTGTGTGAGGGAAAGGAAACTATATGTATATGTACGTGTGTGTGTGAGAGAGAGAGAGAGAGAGAGAAAGCAAGAGGGAAAACACAGAGAAAGACAGAGAGAGATTGATTACATCACAGGCTGGTGTGATATAGACACAGAGAGGTTTCCCCAGAATGTACAACCAGGGTGGGCTCTCTGCACTCAAAGGCCTTCTCCAACATTAACCTCCTGGGTTCTACCAATGGCAAAATGTTGAGTGCAGAGGCTCATAAACTTTCTCCATTCACAGCACCTTCATGGTACCCCTAGGCTAAAAAAAAAACCAAACAGAAACAGTTTCTTTTTTAAGTAGCTGGGTTCAAACAACTTAATAAGACTTTGTGTCCTAACAACTTAGTAACTATCTTGGAAAATAATAATACATATGAATTGGGGTAAAAATGTTGTTGTTTCATTCTTTTTTTATTTTTATTTTTGAGAGGGAATCTCTGTCATCCATGCTGGAGTGCAGTGGTGCCATCTCAGCTCACTGCAACCTCCGCCTCCTGCGTTCAAGCGATTCTCCTTCCTCAGCTTCCTGAGTAGCTGAGATTACAGGCGCCCACCACCACACCCGGCTAATTTTTGTATTTTAGAGTACAGATGGGGTTTCACCATGTTGATCAGGCTGGTCTCAAACTCCTGACCTCAAATGATCCACCCACCTCAGTCTCCCAAACTGCTGCGATTACACACATCCGACCTGTTGTTTCATTCTTAAATAACCACAGTAAGGCTAGGTGCAATGGCTCACTCCTGTAATCCCAGCACTTTGGGAGGCTGAGGCTGGAGGATCACTTGAGCCCAGGAGTTCAAAACTAGCCTGGGCAACATAACCAGATCCCACTTCTACAAAAAATTAAAAAAAAAAAAGATAGCTGGGCATGGGGGCTTGTACCTATAGTCCCAGCTTCCTGGAAGGCTAAAGTGGGAGGATGACTTGAGCCTGAGAGGTCGAGGCTACAGTGAGCTATGGTCATGCCACTGTACTCCAATGTGGGCAACAGAGAAAGACCCTGTCTCAAAAAAAAAATTTTTTTTAAACCAACAACAATAGCTTCCTGATGGGCTAGATGCACTTGTTACACTCTGCACAGGTTTTCAAAACAAAATCATATTGAGCACTGCTATCCTCCTTTCCTGCTCCACGTTGATTTTAATGCAGTCCCTGCTTTTTATCACAGCAACTCCTAAACACTCAGCTTTGTAAAGGTACAATGTCATGAGCTGAATGCTGGAACTGTGAATTACCTAGCAGAGCTAGCAGTTCATGCAGAGCCGGATGGGTGTTGAGTAACGCCATTTCCCTGCGGTACCCGAGCACATGTGGGCACTAGCCTTTGAGGACCAGAGCCCTGGTTGGACAACTCGCTGTGTGACCTTGGGCAAGTTACTGTAGCTTCTTAGAGTTTCAGTCTTCCCATATATGAAAGGGGATAGCGATAGTACTGACCTCACAGGGTTTGGGGAAGATTAAATAAAGTTCCTTTACCTAAAGCATTTAGCATAGTGGTCACTGAGTGGACACGGTGGGTCAGGCTCTGTGGTCAACACTGTATATGGATTATGGACACAACTGTGCTGACAGTCCCAGTTTATGATACTATTATTATTATTGGAGACAAGGTCCCACTCTGTCACCCAAGTTGGGTATAGTGGCATGGGCATAGCTCACTGCAGCCTGGAACTCCTGGGCCCAAGTGATCCTCCTGCCTCAGCCTCATGAGTAGTTGGGACTACAGGTGCACACCACCATGCCCAGATAATTTTTTTATTTTTTGTGAGGTGAGGTCTCGCTATGTTGCCCAGACAGGTCTTGAACTCTTGGTCTCAAGCAACCCTCCCAACTTGGCCTCCCAAAGTGCTGTGATTATAGGCATGAGCCGCCATGGTCAGCCCCAGTTTATGAAATTATAAGAACCTTTTTCATTCTCAAATTGCCCTGGTTTGAAGGATAAAGCATATGGCCATCCTTCCTTTGCATTTGTTAACTCATTCAATTCCCCCACAAGTTGCAAACATTGGGATTTGAATTGAGACAGTCTGATTCCAGAGTCTTCGCTCTGAACCACTAGAGCGGTGCATCTTAACTGGGGGAGATTTTGCTGCAACCCCCACCCTCGGACATTTTGTCATGTCTGGAGCCGTTTTTAGTTGTCATACCTGGGAGATTGCTACTGATATCCAGTGCCAGGGACGCTGCTGCTAACATCCTACAATGCACAAGACATTCGCCATGACAAAGAATTGTCCAGCCCAAAATGCTGATAGTGCTGAGGCTGAGAAATCCTGTGCGCTTGAGACCTCACAAGACTTTACCTCTTATTTTTAAGCCTGTCGTGGGGTCACATCTAGTGGCAAAAGCCAAAAATGTTACCATTTTTTCTCATAGAGGTTTCACCACAACCTCTGTGACCCCTTTAACCAACCCATCAGGCTCCGTTTTGTGTTCGGGCCCCAGATGTGCACAGCTGTGAAATCCCTTTCATACACAGGTGCACAGCTGTGAAATCCCTTTCATACACGGGGCTGGGTGTGGCATCCTCAGGGTAGACAGACTTCACATATTCCTTGGAGACTGGACAGCAGATACCCGTAGGCTGATCCATCACTGTGAAAGTCATATTTATTGCCCATGGTATTAGTTCTTTACCTCTTCCACTCTCAGATAAAACCATAGAAACCGAGACAAGGATCCACCAAGCGTAAATCTGGACAGTCTCGTTTCTAAGCTAAAGAGAAAGACAACATTGCAGATGGCTTCTGTACCTCTTTATATTTCCAACCAAACAGGAGGGGAGAGGTGCACAGGGGACTTTCTCTGTGTATGCTTTTCTTTTCTTTTCTCTTTCTTTTCTCTTTCTTTCTTTCTTTCTTTCTTTCTTTCTTTCTTTCTTTCTTTCTTTCTTTCTTTCTTTCTTTCTTTCTTTC